TATAGCCTTCAGTGATGCACTCGACAACTTTCTACTCTAGTCTCTAACTCCAACGCTTTAAGCAGCGGGAATCAAACCCTTTTCATTAGTTGTGACTCGCTGTTTTTATCATCACACTCATGCTCAGGCTTTAGCCATAATCGACGAGGTCTAGAACTTCCTTGCACTCAGGCTTCAACTCCAGCACCTCAGATGATTATCTTCAACAATGCATATCACTTGTTGGCCCTCACTCTTTAACTCCAGCAACACCTTAAGTCGACCTTCATTTATCGATCATCAACCAGTCATATCTCATTTACGTACAAATTATTTATGATTTTAATTGATATTTTAAATTTAAAATGTAACGGCCCCGGAAATATTAAAATGAAATGAGTATTTAAATATATCAAATGCACTTAAAATATAAAAGATTAAACTAACTAAGAGAGAAACTCGAAAATAAAACTATGAGTATGATTACAGAGTCTCTAGGCATCCCCTTCGTCGTCCTCCTGCGGAACGGGCTCGGGAACCATGTCTTCCTGATCTGAAATTGTTAAATAAGGAGTGAGCTACACTAGCCCAGTAAGAACATCACGATATCTCACCGTCACGGAGGTAAAGGTGGGTAGAAAAACACAAAAAGACCAATGGAGCATAATTTACAACAAACTCGTTTATTAACATGAAAACCTTTACCATCCACTTACCTCGGTGGAATTTATGAAAACAATATAAGAAAACAATAACATTATCATAATCATGCAATAATATAAGCTGTAAAACATAACACTTATCACGCCTCTTGTAATTCAATCATTGTACAACATATCTTTTTCTCATTTACCAGCCTACTAGTATCCGTGGGGGTCCATAGGGGTTCCGCTACCCGTTAACCTTTAACATTCATAATCAGTTTCCAGGGCCGTCCCCATACCCCGTCCGGTATGGGCGCCAAAACCATGAACCTCAATACCCCGTCCGGTATGAGGGTGAAACGGGCCGTCCCCATACCCTGTCCGGTATGGGCGCCAAAACCATAAACCTCAATACCCCGTCCGGTATGAGGGTGAAACGGGCCGTCCCCATACCCCGTCCGGTATGGGCGCCAAAACCATAAGATCTCCATACCCCGTCCGGCATGTGAGATCACAATCCCGGTAGGGTTCCCTACGGACCCGGTCCGTCCACCATCTCCCAGGATATCTAGTCAGGCTGACCCCCATAATACAATTATCAGTCTACACAATCTTTCATTTTCCTTTTCCTCAGTCAGCATCATCAATTCACATACAAACAAGTAAAACAGTAATTCATGCCCAACAGACAACATACAGTATCAGTTTTCAGTCATTCAACCCATGATTAATAAAAACGTAGTATATGCACACAAATCTGTAAAATGAACACATCAAACCTCATTTTGCATTTAAAGCTGTAAACAGGCCAAATAACAGTAAATCACCAATCACACTAGACTCGGGCTCCATTAGCCACCTTAAGCAATTTCACACATTCGTTAATTCAAGAAATACCGTTTTATCATTTTGAACTTTAATACCGTGATAGGAAATAGGGTGAGGGGTCCTTACTTGTTTTCGGGATCCAAATACGATTCACAGTGCGCCTGCAAGCCGTCCCTAATTTTTCCTGAATTTTTTCCGGGGAACTGAAACACACTAACAGTACCTGCACGTGTTCCAAAAAAACCCAAATTAGGCCCAGGGCCTCTTTCGGCCCAAATCGCAACTCCGGCACGGCGGCTCCGCCGTGCTCCGGCGACGGCGCCGCCGCTGGCGGCGGCGAGTCGCCTCGGGTTGGCTGTTTTCGGCCGTTTTCGGCCGAATTCGGCCACACTCGCATTGGTCCTTGTCAGAAAACAACCCTAGGGCCCTCGGGGGGCCAAAAAATCACGGAAAAACGGAGCTTACCGGCGGCGGCGCTCTCGGGTACGGCGGCTCTCCGGCGAGGTTCGTGTTTTGGTGATTCGGCTTCGGTCAACCTGTAGAGAAAAGAATGGTGATCACGGTGATATAAAAATTGCATCGAACGGAGGCCGGGAAGGGCCTCGTCGGAGGCAAAAATCGAGAGGGGGCGCGGCGGCGCCGCTGGGCTTCGGCCGCGTATTCCGGCCGTTTGGCCGGGATTTCGGCCTCGATTTGGCCATAGGAGGAATCAGCGGGGAAAAACGAGTTGGGGGTATGAAATTTACCTCGATCGGCGGTCGGAAATTTCTCCGGTGCGGCGGCGGGTGGCGGCGGTCGGCCTCTGGTTCGTCTTCTCCGGCGAGCGGCGGGCGGCTAGGGTTTGT